CCCCCAATAAAACATGCTGGTTAACTAGTTTCTAGAGTTTGGACTCTTAGCTTTCTGACAATAGTCTGATGTGATATGGGTGAGTTGTCCCCCCCATAAAACATGCTGGTTAACTAGTTTCTAGTGTTTGGACTCTTAGCTTTCTGACAATAGTTGTGGACATTACGTTGCTCTTCACATATTTGGGTGTGCTAGTCTTTCACCCCCGCCTTATTTAAGAGATTGTTATCAGCCTTAATTTGTTATGGCTGGCCTAGTGAGTTCCCCCCCACGGATTTGCATTGGGCCCCCAACCCAGGGATTACATTATTTCTGGCCAGAGGGAACCTCTTAGGTCTACAATTCAGATGCCGATATGATGCGGGGAGGGTTGGACACGGAGGTGACAGTCCTTTTTTGTGAGACTCACTGCTATCTTGTACTGTTTCATGCAGCTGGTTTGTGGTCCCAGGGGCAGCTGAGGAGGCACATGGTACGCATCCCTACCCTCCTCCTGCTGTCAGAAGGAGCGTGCTATTGAGTTGGTAGTCCATGAAGGGGGGCAGGATCAGTGCCCTTCTGGGCACCTCCGGGACCATGGGTCACCTCAGTGAAACGCCTCAGCCTGTGTTGATCTACTAACCAAGGTCATGTTGTCTCCCGGATCTCTCAGGAAATTAACATTGCATCCAGCTTGGGGTGCTATTGCTCCCTTTATAAGATTGGGTGGAGCTATACGCGCCACCATGCTTTGTGGTAGGGGTGCTTCAAACTATAAATGTGTTTCTTGCCCTGTGGTCCCCCTTTCGTGGATGACGGCGGTGTTTTCACAACCTCACATCTGGCTGTCAATCAGCTGGCACCTTTTGCCAGCTGTTATGATACAGCAATTAATATATTCTCATGTATTATCAATATTGTTGAATACTGATGTGCTCTGATGTACTACTTCACTTCATTTTATTTTGTTGCACTGTATTATGTACATTTGCTGTTCCTGGAACCAGGGCATTTTTGGACAGAACAGTTAACCAATAGCTAGGGCTGCATCTGATGGCCCCCCGGCTCATACAAGGAGCATTCAGAAGGCCAAGGGATACACCCCTTGAGCAAGTTTTTCCTGGTCCCTTTGGAATCTGCCCTGCCCAGCCCCAAGCATGCTCCCCTTATTTTGTGGTTAATTGCCCTTAGAGACACAGCTGGTTGTTCCTGCTAGGGATCTCAACTAAAAGAAAGAAAGATGATAACTGCGCTTCTATGCATACACATATATTTCATATGTCTAAAAGCCACCACAGTACCATGAGATATTTTATCACAGTAAAACAATAAAATATATCTGTTGCGCTAACAGATATATTTCTAATAGGGATTTCTCCTGCCTGTTACTCACTGCCTTATTTAGCACAACAGGTTTGTCTGTCTTCATACGTTTTTGTATTCGCATCATATCATACGAACACAAAGGGCTCGGCTCCTCTATGTTCTGCCACTTTCCCAAACTAATAATTTATCCTCAGGAATCTAGGTGGGTCCTTCCTGGGGTTGAGATTGTTCTCAGCTGTGGGGCTAGTTGACTATTTGTTAGTTTGGGACAGATTTGTTTTTTTTGCTGACCTCAGCTGCCCTCTTTCTGAGTTTTAATTCCCCACCCCCCTTCCCCCCCCCCCCCTTTTTTAACTCTCTTTAATCCTTTTTTGCCTCTTCTCTCTAACCTGCTCCCCTTCCACTTCTTGAGCTCCCAGTGATTTCTTTCTGGAACCATAAGAGGAGAATCATTCCTAAGAACTCCACACTTTGTGCCCTGGATGTTAAGTACAAGGAGAGAGGGTCTTTCACTGTGCCGGCACCATGACTTTCCTACAACGTCTGTCCCTAAACATACATGGGTTGAACACCCCAACGAGAAGGCGAATGGTCTGATCTGATCTGAAGAAGTGCAAGATACAAATCACATTTCATCAAGAGACCTAATTTTGCACTACTCAGATCCTGAAGATGACTGATAAATATTTCCAGGTAGAGTGCTATGCTGCCTCCTTGGATAAAAAATCTAGGGGAGTGAGCATCTTACTGTCCGATAATACCCCGTGCACAACTGAGGCGGAAGATAAGGATGAAAATGGATGAGATCTTTTTGTGAAGGTTCTGTTGGGCAAAAGCAAAATCACTTTCGCTTCTCTATATCTACCTAACCAATCACGAATCACTTTTCTTGAAAATGTTCTGGATTCCTTGTCTGTATTTGTGGAGGTAACGATGGTGCTGGGGGGGGATTTCAACCTCATGTCAGACCCTTCATTAGGTTCCACTGGTACAGCTTCTCATCTCTCCTTGTGGTGCATTTTTAAAAAATTCTTCACACACCAGCTAGTTTAATATCTGGAGGATTCAGCATCCGGACATAAGGGACTATTCCTACCATTCGATGGTGCATAACTCTTACTCAAGCTATGGCCTCAGATATTGGCAATATAATGTACTCAGACCAGGCTCCAGTATTCTTAACTGTTCAGCTGGGGCCTCCATCCTTCCTACTTGGTCATGGAGACTGAATGAGTCTCTTTTACAGAACCCCACAATGGCAGCAGATCTACATCAGGATCTGACAGCCTACTTTTCCTCTAAATCCATACCAGACTCCCCAGCTACTTGTGTGTGGGAGGCTCGTAACTCCATTATCTATTGCGTGCTGATTAAACACAGGTTTAGAATTAAGAAAGAAACAGGAAAACTGAGAACCTACTCGCAGAAAGAATGATGCCAGATAGGCTACTCAAGGACAGACGGAATTCAGCATGTTGATGGTGTTGAGACATCACCTTAAAACCATTCTTCTGGAAGGTGCAAAGGCTGTTCTGTTCAAATGCTGACATGCCTTTTATGAATATGGCAATCGGTGATGTAGATCCCTGGCTAATGCTCTTCTTAGGACACGTAGAGCTCAGATCTATGTTCCAGTCCTCCACAAGTCGACAGATCTGTAGTCTGCTTATCTCAGAAATTGCAACTGAGTTTAGGGCCTATTATTCTCAACCTCAATTACATGTGAAAGGCTGGGACCCCATTCACTTGGCGACCCATAGAGCAGACCAGGAAATACCTCCAGCAATCAGTGCTCCCATCCCTCAAACCTGGTGAGTGAGGACTTGGAGAATTCATCACCCCAGATTATTTTTTTGCAAGTAATCAAACAGACAAAACCATGTAAGGCCCCAGGGCCATATGGTTTCACCCTGGCATACTTCAAGGGTTTTCAGGATTCGCTGGTGACACATTTTTGCTTCATCTTTCAACTCCCTTATACAACCCCACCAGATGCACTCGGAATCTTTTGTGGCATACATCTCAGTTATCCTGAAAGAGGGAAAAGATGCCACATGGTGTCCCAACTACCTGCCTATTTCTTTACTCAATGTGGAACTTAAATTGTTCACTATGGTTTTGGCAGACCACCTGGTCCCCCACCTCCAATGGATTATACATCTGAATCAAGTAGGCTTTATACCTTGTAGAGACGAGGGACAGGATGATTCTAACAATCAACAATCTCTCCTTTACATATAAATTTCTGCTTAGAAGAACTTCTTACCCAGCACTTGTCCTACAAATCCTCTATCAGCAATAAGAACTGGGACTCTGGATACAAAATTATGACTAGACAGTATTGTATTTCTACTAATGTACTAATGTAGCAAATGTACCCAGGTATTTCAGACAGCTGTTGAAGCTGTGAGTCCTAAAGGGGAGGTGTACTACACATATTTTTGTACTGCCCTGTCCTCCAGTCCTTCTGGAAACAAGTCCACACTATTGTACAAAAAATACAGAACTCATGTCCTTTATATGTCTGCTTTTTTACTTGTACACCATACCCCCAATGCAGGTTAAGATGTATAAGATATCAGCAGTCTGGCAGCCCATTCATTCATTTCATCATTATGGAAAACTGCAGCAGTGCTCTCCCTGTCACAGGGGCTCCGTAAGGTTGAGGTATCCGATACATGAAAAATCTGACTAACGCGCTAAAGGGGACAGAAGAGAAATTTAGCAAGACATGGTTCTATTGGTTCTATTACTGCAGTATTCTTACATTACTGAATTTTAACATATATTGGTGGGCCATTCGCTTCGTTCATCCTTGTATTGTCTTGGTGGGAGCGAGTCAGTGTGGTTGCATGTGCATGCAGGACTTGCCTAGTTGCATGAGGGGGTGCCCCTCCAATTTTAATGAGGCTACAGGGCTATTTCTGCCACAACAGTCATGTAGTCGAGGGAGAGCAGGTTTGGTCACGACCCTATTCGCCCTTCCTATACTTACCTTCCACTCTCCCCTTTAACACACCCTTTTTTATCTCCTGGCATTTCACTTCAATACTATGGTACACTCAGGCAAAGACAGGAGAAGTGTCTCATTGCATAATGATTATGTAGGAGTGCCTGCATCACATAGTGCCCGGTGCCCAATTTTGGATGTTGCTACATCCTTTTTGCTTTTGCGCCGGATATTGGGCGATTTGTTGCTGTATTTGTTTTTTCTCTGGTTTGTAATTTTTGTTTCTTACTAACTGCCTAAAAAAAGAAAAAAAAACACTTGCATCATTCCAATATTGTTCATACAACATCAATTTACTGAATATTAAAATAAAAAGGTCTATATTGTAAGATAGAACACAGCGTCTCTGAGTACTGCTTTGCCTATAATCTAAATTGTTTATTTTTGAATAACTTATAAAGAACCTGTATTCAGAGGACATGTTTTGTAAAAATGAATATGAAATCTTATATGATGCTGAATTTAAAACACAGTTTAACTTACTGAGCACTTATGAGAAGTCCAAGGTTTTTCACTGGATCTTGCACACATTTTTTTGGTGTTACCCCAACACTGACTGCAAAGGTGGCCTCATTTCTTATTGCTGGGATGTTGAATCTGAGAACCGTCTATAGGGTAAGAATAATAAGATGAGATGAGAACAGAATGGATGGAACAGAAGGAATAAGTGGGATTTCCCACTAACCTGCACAAAGACACAACCACTCCCTGTAGCTGTCACTGTGTAGTCTCCAGGGATGGATGGTAGAGTTGCCCTCTGGAGGAGGAGTCGATTAGTGTTGACTACATGGAACTCCTCCATAAATCCTTTCTTGGAAGTAACGGTCACTGTCATGTCTCCCTTATCACTGTATGTAGCCTCTGCATACTTGGCTAGAGCCTGAAGAGCCACAACTGTGTCCTATAAAAGAAAATGCTTAGACATTATATACAATGGATATTACAACAGAATTAAGAAGACCAAACAGTTTGTCAATAATAACTTTATTATTTATATTTCTGTTTTTTACCCTATATCCTGTTACCTTTACAAGCTCTCTCTAGTCTGAAGGGCTTTGGCCAAGATTTAAGATTAAAAAAGATCTCAAAATTATGTCTGAAGGGCTTAGCTACAAAACAAGATTTGACTTTCAGTTAAAAATACTTAACTGCTCTGTGCAATGGTTTAGCACAGAGCAGCCCTGAACTTCCTCTTCTTAGTGTCCCCCACCAACATTCTCGGCTCCTCCTCCCTTACAAGATTCCCTCATAGGAACCCAAGTCGGGTTTTATGTGTCTATGGCCAATGGCTCCCAGCTCTGCCTCCATGTCATGTGAGGAGAGAGAGTGATCAGCCACAACACTGGATCAGGCTCAGGTAAGTATTTAGGGGGACTGGGAGGGGCGGGGAGCTGACCATAGAAGGTTTTTTACCTTAATGCTGAGAATGCATTACAGTGAAAAAAAATACCCTTAAGAATTTATAACCACTATAAGCAAGAATTCTCATCATTACATCATGTTACAAAATATTACCTGCAACTAAAATTTTAGTACACCACAGAACTATTAGAGTGGCAAATGAGTGCTATGTATGTCAATATATTTTTTTGTTTCCATCGTATTTTAATTTAAGTCACTGATCTGAAACAATTACAGTATGTGTTTTATGCAAGAGCTTTTGATTAGCCCTGGGACTGTCAGGGGATTTTGGAGCCATTTGTCTCTTCCACATAGCGTAGGTCCACCCTCAGATGGTCATTAGTGTACCACAGAAGGACCCATTTCTTATCTGTTACCTGTGTAGATGAGAAGCCTCCATAGGGGTTCTGTTGTTTGCTCAGCCAGTTGACAATCTCTGCAGCTTTACCCAGATCAGGCTCAGGTTCAGACACCAGAGCCAGCAAGACATACGAAGTCATTTCCACTTCTGCAGATGGAGCTCTGTGCCAGTATGGGACATCAGAGGAAAGAGTAGACTTGCGTTCCCAGTGTAACTGTCCTTCTGTAAAAGAGCAGAAAGTTAAAGCTTACTTTTAAGCATGCACTAAATTAAAATAAATTGTGTAAAATATGCACATGAACAGTCCCCCAAACCAAATTTTATTTGGCCACTTTGGACAACAATATAATTTCTATGAAGCAGTCTTAGATCATGTCACACAACTGTTCTTGAGAGAGAAAGTGATCAGGAAGGTTGCAAAACCTTCTCTGCTATTGTTTGCCTTTAAAAAACTGGAAACTCCAATAATACCCCTAGTGAAGATTCACATCTAGAATTGTAACCCATATATAAACAATTATCAAAAATTTCTTAGCAAAAAAAACTTATTAGCCAAAAAGTATTCTTTATTAATACTATACACTTAAGTAAAACCCAATAAAACCAGCAGGGCTTGCCTCAATAATCCAGTTTTATTTCACAGCAGCACACCCTATTGGTTATTAGTGCTGACCTTCTCTTTCCTAGTGAAAGCTCTGCTGTACTGGGAATCATAGCAGGCTGATAGTGAATCAAATTTAACTACACACCTCCATTTTTTGCTGTTTTTAATATGTTTGCATTTATCAATTAATGGTTATTATGAACAATTCCAATTTTTTATCCTTTTGTCCAGTTTTTCTTTTTTTAATCAAGTACATGAGGAAGCATCTGGAAGTTTCATGGTAAAAATACTCCATCAGTACTCACCTCCCCTCACAGCCATTTCCTCCAGTTTGTTGAATATAGTTTTCCTGAACTCTGTCTCTTGGCATATAGTAAAGGTATAGGCAAGCAGAGCCAGGGTGTAAACATTGGTCACATTCACAGCTGCCTTCTGTAGACAGGACACTGCATCCCTGATCAGAGGGTCCTGGATTACAGTACAATTTTAGTATGTTAGTTTTTGGTTTGAATAACCAGCTTGGTTTAGTACATTTCATGATATGTTTATTAACCTCCCTAGCGGTCTGATTATGTCAGTATTTCTGTGCTCAAAGCGGTACTTTTTTTGCATGGAAATATGTCATTTGTTTATTGTAGGCCTGTAATTTTTAGGAATACCTCACTGAAATCTGTCCAAGCAAGAGTCTAGTAAACATCCCGGGTATGTTAAAATTTGAAACATGAAATCATAAATTATAATTTAATAAATAATCATAAAAAATAATAATATAAAAATTTAATTCAATAATATAATCAAACCAAAAACACTGAAATTTGAACTAGAGCGCCAAGTTCGCATATCACTATCTTAGTCGCAAAATTGTTTTCAGTGTCTGATGACGAATTTCCCCACGAATCATTATCACTCAATTCTGGAAGTGGTTCTAATTTACTATCACTGTTCTCTAGCTGGTCTAAAACCGGTTTTGACCTAAAGGGACGCTTTTTGGACGCCATGGACCTTTCTCAGTTTCCAGGCAGAAAGAACAGTAAAAATGCAGGCAGGGCACAGGACAAAGCACTAAGGACAAAATGTATTTGAAATGCTTTGAAACAGTAATGTTATCCTATGTGATTTTAACGTATTGAGTGAATGTCACTTTTTTTTAACATTTTTAAATTTCCCACCAGTTCTGTCCCCCATACGTCCGACGCTTGCAGGGAACGGAACCCGGAAGACAGATGCCGGCATCGGCCAGAGGAAATGGCCGGGGATGCTGCAGGGGGAACATTGCGGGAGCGAAGGACAAGGTAAGTGCTGGAGGGATCCCGGAGCAATGCTGCAGGGTATTCCCGAGTGTAGCTCGGGGGTTACCACTTTTGGTGCTGAAACTTTACCCCGAGCTACACGCGGGAATACCTCCAGGGAGGTTAAGAATATTCTAATCAACCAAAAGTATACCAAGCTATGAAGATGTTGTATGGCTGTACAGATAACTGATCCAAACTAAATTGATGTGCTTATGTACAAAAACATTTGAAATGTCCCGACTTAATCAGAAATATAAATAACTATTTCCATAATCATAAAAATGGTAGGTGTTCATCCTCATGCACTATCCCAAGGGCTGTCATTTAGATTTATAGATAGAAACTGAGACGATGATTAGATGTAATGGTCACTACGATCAACCACTTAGTCTTCTTTCCAGTTTTAAAAAATCAACCAGGCCAATGCTTGTTGTATTCATACTAGTTTTGGTACCATGTAGGCAGGTGCGGCTAGCTAGTCTGCCACTAGGTGGCCCTGTTCCAGAATAGTGTCTGGCTACATCAAGTGCTAGGCCCCTTTTAGTTAGTGCTGGTGTCATGGGTGAGTCATTGCCCAGTTTAAGCCAGGTTGGGAGAAGCCCTAATGCAACTGGGTCATAGGAGCCAAACAACCCACACCTATGCATCCGTAGCCAGCATGTGGAGACCATGGGCAGACAGACCTGCAACCAGAAGAGCCAGCTGTAGACTTTCTCAAATAAGTCTATCCTCCTGAAGGGTCCCAGGAGAGTGTACCTATAGTGGAGGTGACTGCAGAGATCCCATTCCAGTAAGTACTAATGACCCCATGTGGAGGGAGAAACTGTTAGAGGGAAGATGGCTTACTTACAGTGCTGCCTGTTGCTTTCACACATGACTGCTGTGGACCGTCTTCTAAATGTGATAGACAATATACTGTCAAGTGACCCCGAATAGTATATCAGTGTGATGTAGCTATATGTGCCATTTCTCAAATATCACCAGTGAAGTGCAGCAATCCTATTTATGTGTGAACAGTCCTACCTCTGGGGATATAAAGGTCAATGACTGGGAAAGTTGGGAGGAAGTATGGCGTGGGGCACAAGATAGCAGAGGGTACAGCCTCAGCAAGAGGGTCTTTGTTCTAGCAAGGAGAGGAATGGGGCAGGAGCTTTAGCTCTGGATACCAAAACTTAGCCAATGGCAAGCTCCTCTTACAACCAGTCAATGTTAAATTCCTGTTCTACAGGCTTCATTTATTATATCCCAAAATCCTGACATCTATTTATAACATAAGGATCAAACTGAAATTTCTACTGGAAATAGCACATACATGGACTGTCATATCTGAACAGCTAACACTGGCCTGCACAGTCCACCGAAAAACTTAAAGAAAAAAAGGAGACGTTCATATTATGTAAGATGCATGGTCATGTGAGTCATGCATCCACTCTCTCTTCCAAAATTGTAAATATTGAGCTTTGTTGGCGTTCTCTTATTTTGCTTCCAAAAGTATATGGGCGCTTTCACACTGCCGAACTGCAGTTTGGCTGCAGTGCAGTATGACCGCAGTTTTCGTGTAAGTTACCTGCAGTTTCCCATATACTAACCTAGGCTCTCTAGGGCCTCAAGCATGTTATGGCAGATATGATTCTAAAATGAGGTCTCTATGTTTCAATATGATATCAACCATATTATTCCCATGATGCAATCTCTTACCTTGACAGACACACCAGACTCCAGCAAAGAGATTGTTACATAGGCTGATAGAGAAATGTCATCTTCCACTCCTCCCTGGAACATAGAGATTGCAGCACTGATATTCATGGATATGTAACTGTACCTGAAAATTATTTAGCTTAATATTCCAATCACTTACTGATAGAAGATGCGACACAAAAGAGCAGCCTTTATAGATTAGTTTTCAGCTGACACAGCTGGAAAGCTTTTTGGAAGGGAAGATTGTAGGTTTATGTAGCATAGCGGGACAGACACATTGGAATGTCAAAACTTAAATACTGCTGATAATGGATGTGTGAAGGGTCAGTCACTATAAACCTTATATTTCATTTTCTTTGTTATATACTAGAGTAGCTTTGCCCGTGGCCTTGCTGAATCTTGCAGGGATTTTGGAAGTGAGACCACTAAAGCCTTGAATAAACTTGCATGATGCAATTATTATGCTGAAGTCAATTTCACAATATAAAACAAATCTTAAAATGCATTAAGGAAAGCAGGCTGGGGACAGTGGAGTCCACTGAGAAGTAAATAAAAATCATTGAGTTTTTAAACTCTTTTTTCATTCCCTGTATATTTCAGTTTTTGGAACATGCCGGGAAGTTAAACCACATTACATTTCCTTATATTTCAGGGGAAACTGGTTGGTGTAAAAAAGGCTTTAGTTTCAATACCTGTACACCAGTTATGGCCATTACAAGAGAGTCTAATACTCTCTCTTTTACTTTTTTTTTTTTTTAATAAAGGCTTCAACAAGAGTCCTGAAATTTAAGATGCCCAAGACAGATAAGAAGCCCACCAGGCTGCTTAAATAAATAAACTTTTCCTGATCCTAAAATAGACCGACCCTTTAAATATACAGCACCCAACCAGCAATCAGAGCAAAACAAATCTACCTCCAGCCTTCTCTAGGTCACTACCACTTCTCTATCAGGTTGGTCCCCTTCATCAGTGTCAGAGGAAAAGACGAGGAAGCCCGGGCAAATGCGCCAAAGCTCAATATGGCCACGCCAATTCACGCAAAGAAGTGCGAATGTGCATAGGCGGGCGACACGTAGTTAAACATTCCTGTGCACGAAAAACACACCAGCGCATGCAGGGTGCACTAATTGCTGACACTCAGTGGCCTTTACAAGGACTGCAGCTCTGCTCAGTGATTGCTGGATAATGGTCAGCTCCTCCTGTTCCTGTGCTTCTGAGTTCCTGAGTTTCCTGTTGATTTCCTGTTTCGCCTGTCCTGACCTTGCTCTGTGCTGCTCCGTGTATGACCCGCCTTGATCCTGACCTTGCTCCTGTCTGCTGCTCCGTGTATGACCTTGCTCTTGTCTGCTGCCCGTGTATGACCCTGGCTTGATCCTGACCTTGCTCTTGTCTGCTACTACCCTGTGTATGACCCTGGCTTGATCCTGAAGTTGCTCCAGGCTGCTGTTCTATATTAATCCTGACTCTGGCTACTGACTACATTACCCATCCTCCAGGATCCACGTGTTCTCTGGAGAAACGCATCCTGCAACTGGAGCACCCACGGGTTCCATCTCATCGGGCATTTCCAAGCAGCAACACCACTGGCAACCCGTGCTTCTTTGGGCACTGCACCTCCTGTTTCCACCTCCACGGGCGCACTGCACTTAGCCGTAAGGGGAGCCCTCTCTCTACTACAGCCTCCAGTCAGGTACGTGACAATCAGACTGTAAAAATCCCTGTACTTCCAGGTATGAGACAGCAAGGAGGAAATACACTACTCAAAAAAATTAAAGGAACACTTTGAAAACACATTAGATCTCAATGGGGAAAATACCATGCTGGATATCTATACTCATATGGACTGGGTAATGTGTTAGGAATGTAAGGATGCCCCATCGTGTGACGGAAATGAAAATTATCAACCTACAGAAGACTGAATTCAAAGACACCCCAAAAATCAAAGTGAAAATATGATCAGAAAGCTAGTCCATTTTGCTGAAATTTCATTGCAGCAATTCAAATTGGTTCTCAGTAGTTTGTATGACCCTGACGTAACTTGTATGCATGCCTGCCAACGTAAGGGCATGCGCCTAATGAGACGACAGATGGTATATTGGGGTATTTCCTCCCAAATCTGGACCAGGACATCACTGAGCTCCTGCACAGTCTAAGGTGCAACCGTCGGATGGACCAAAATATGATATCTCAGAGGTGTTCTATTGGGTTTAGATCAGGCGAGCATTGGGGGCTATTCAATGGTATCAATTCCTTCATCCTCCAAGAACTGCCTGCATACTCTCGCCATATGAGGATGGGCATTGTCGTGCACCAGGAGGAACCCAGGACCCATTGCACCAGTGTAGAGTCTGACAATGGGTCCAAGGATTTCATCCCAATACCTGATGGAAGTCAGGGTACCATTTTCTAGCCTCTAGAGGTCTTTGCATCTCTCTATGAATATGCCTCCCCAGACCATCGCTGACCCACCACCAAAACGTTCATACTGAATGATGTTACAGGCAGCATAACGTTCTCCACGGCTTCTCCAGACCCTTTCACGTCTGTCACATGTGCTCAGAGTGAACCTGCTCTCATCTGTGAAAAGCACAGGGCACCAGTGGTGGACCTGCCAATTCTGGTGTTCAATGGCAAATGCCAGTCAAGGTCTATGGTGCCAGGCAGTGAACACAGGGCCCACTAGAGGACGTTCGGGTCGTCAGGCCACCCTCATGAAGTCTGTTTCTGATTGTTTGCTCAGAAACATCCACAGCAGTGGCCTACAGGAGGTCATTTTGTATGCTCTGGCAATGCTCATCCTGTTCCTCCTTGCATTAAAGAAGCGGATACGGTCCTGCTGATGGGTTAAGGACCTTCTACAGCCCTGTCCAGCTCACCTGGAGTTACTGCCTGTCTCCTGTAATCTCCTCCATGCTCTTGAGACTGCACCCGGAGACACAGCAAACCTTCTGGCAATGGCACGTATTGATGTGCCATCCTGGAGGAGTTGGACTGCCTGTACAACCTGTCCCGGTGTACAGGGGCTCTGTCCCGCATTACTCTTAACTATTTATAAGCTAACTTCCAGCCGAGCAGGACCTGCAGTAGTGTGAACAGTGTGCACATCTAGTACAGCCTGGGATTGTCAGGCAAGCCAGCAGGGCTTCCACAATGAGAGAGAGAGCATGCAGCTGCCAACTCCAACCTGTGATGTCGGAGATGAGCGGGGCCCATGTGCCTTTCAGGGGTTTTGCCCCCTTTTTCAAGCAAGCACTGCATAGACTAACAGCTAGAATTTATAAATTGCTGGCCAGGGAAGATGGTGACAAGGGGCAGGACCAATTGGAACTAATGCATGTGCACCTGCAGTGGTGTATAATAAACCTGAATTATACACCACTGCGGGTGCACATTCAGTAGTTCTAATTGGTCTTACACTTGCCACCTTTTTCCCGGTTGGCACTGTATAAATGCCGGCTTTTCCCCTATGAACAGGTTGTTTCTAAAATGGGGTGGAGCCCTTAAAACGCATATCAGCTCTGCCCATCCCTGACATCACAGGTTGGACTTGACAGCTGCACTCTCTCTCATTGCAGCCCTACCCCCGCCGGGTTTCGCCAATCTTGATAGATGTTCACACTGCTGCAGGTCCTGCTTGGCTGCACTCATTTCTTATCTATCGGATGCCTGCATTCCTGCCTCAGCTCCTGTATGCTGTTAATCAATATTTTAGAACATAAGTGTATGTTTAATTGGTATCATTGCGGTTTAGCCAACTCCTGAACCTTACACTCTGTACCTACCGCATCCCTGAATTCTGCACTACGTATGTATGAAATGCACACTTGAAGCTGGCACTCTGCATATAAACATTCCTGAATCCTGCACTTTGTATGAAATGCACACTCCTGAACCTTGCACTCTGTATATAACACATTCCTGAATCCTGCACTCTGTATGAAATGCACTCCTGAAGCTTGCACTCTGTGCATAATGCATTACTGAATCCTTCCACACTTTGTGTAACACACTATTCCACAGTTTGTGCAAAACCATTTGTAATGGAAGCTTTTTATTCATTTTTTTTTTTTTTTTTTTTAATGATTGTGCTGGGATTTGTGTCCGTGAGACTCTTGCTTGTGGCACAGCAATCAAAGCATATTTTATAGGTACAAGGAAGCCCAGGTTTTTTTAACCTTGCCCCTTAAGCCTCTCCCACTGTCAATCATTTGATCACACCCATTTTTGCCATGGCACACTATGTACGCCACAGGTCATTTCCTTCCTCAAGTGTCCCTCATTTTGCAGTTCAGAAGTTGGGGAGGTTTGTCCTTATCTGCCTCCTGTCAATACAGCCCTTGGGGCCTGAGTGGGCAATCAGTGAGGAAAGTCAACAACTGATGGGATGCTATCATATGCAATATATTGTTGTTCACTGCCACATATTTCTAATAGCCTTTACTGTACCTTCAAGTCACTATGAAAGAGTTTCCCCACACTCCTGAAGCAACCATTCTTGTTACGGTGCTCTCGTAGCCAGTTGAACGATTCATTCAAGTGTCTTTCATCTATGAAGATGTATGGACGAGCATTGCTGAAAGATTTCACTACGAAAGCTGTCAGCCTGCAATGAGGTTGAATGATAAATAATGAGAGAGATGACATTCAGAATTTTGGCTGTTGTTAAAAACTGAGGTCATAAAGGGGGTATAGGATAAAGCAAGTCTTACGATACAGTAAGAAACTGTGCACTTTGAAAATTTTCAGTAAAAATTTTATGCATATTTGCTAATCAATTCTGTTGATAAAACAGCATAAAGAAAACCCAGAAATCACCAGTACTGCTTTACATTGGGTGATAAAGAATTATTCAAGGTCTGAGGGATTTTATACTTATTAAATAATCCGTGCTGCAGATTTCTGGCTGCCAGTCAGCAGCCACTATCTAGGAAGGCTGTCTGGCACTTCTCAGGGCAGGATCAATAGGTATTATTTTAATGATAGCTGCTGATTTTAAAAAAATCTTGAAAATTACTTTTAAAATTAAATTACATTAACATGATACATCTTAGAGGATTTGAATGATTGGGTGTACGTCTAGCTCAGTACCAAAGTTCACCTTCTCCTAAGTATCAAAGATTTCAAAATTTAGAACTGGAAACTATTAGAATCCTGGCAGATCTTCACATCAACACAATACAAACGATGTGTGATGCAGATATGTCTCCTGCCATGTTATTGTATTCTGACAAGGGGACCCCCCCCCCCCCCCCCCTGCCTTATGCCATGAAAAAGCCCTCAAGGCTTTGAAGTTAATTACTTCCATCCTCCTTAGATATTGCGACCAGTGTTCTCCCACCACTTAGACTGCACATTTGTTCAAGTAAAGCTTTCTTCAACTTGGTCATATTTTTGCATGTTGCTTGTTCTGAGGTTGCATTCAGAAATCCTTCACTATTTGATCCATAATATCATGTCATGGAGTGCCGTGCTTCAGCCCCCCCCCCCCCCCCCCCCCCGTGCCTGCTGTCAACCGGCCTGTTTTCACCTCACCCCTCCCTCTCCCCTTGCCGAGTCCCCTCATCCTGCTGCAGCCTTTGAAGACAGGCTGTGCAGGATGAGAGGAAGTGGCCCCGTAGCGAAGTTGCGACCCCCTCACCAGGAGACCCTGGCGCAGTGCCACCGACCTGTCTCTGCGCGCCCCCCCAGTGGGCGCAGCGTGGGCACGAGGCTTCCCGTGCTCTGTGCCCACCAGAAACAAAGGCCGTGATCCCGAGCGCTGCCTGAGTGAGGGGGGGCGCGCCTCGTTGACCCAGCAACCCGACGCTGGGCCGGCCGTTGCCGGCGCAACCGGGAAGCGTCCTGCACTGGCTTAAGAAGGCCGGCACGGGACCCAGTTTTGGTGGTTCGTCCCCTGCTCGGGACAGGGTGCTGTGTGGGGTCTGAGCTGAGGCCAGACCTAACAGCCAAGACCCTGCCGAGCCCCTGCAAGCCTGCTGTGTCCCTGACAAGCTGACCTGCTGTGTCCCCTGCACGAGAGAGAGAGAGAGAGAGAGAGAAGAGCTGTGTGAGGTCTGAGCTGATGTCAGACCCCACACACCAAGACCCCGCTGAGTCCCTGTGAGCCTGCTGTTGTCCCTGGAAAGCTGAGCCCCGTGAGCTGAGCGCTTTGTCCCTGGAAAGCTGTGTGAGGTCTGAGCTGAGGTCAGACCCCACAGCCAAGACCCCGCTGAGTCCCCGTGAGCCTGCTGTTGTCCCTGGAAAGCTGAGCCCCGTGATGATCCCTATCTGCTGACCGCTTTGTCCCTGGAAAGCTGTGTGAGGTCTGAGCTGAGGGAACACTGCCCCCTGTCTGCTGATCGAGTGTCCCTGGAAGCCGCCTGCTGCTGAGTGTCTGCAAGCCACCTACCGTGAGTGTCCCTACAAGCCGCCTGTTGCTGAGTGTCTGAAAGCCGCCTATCGTGAGTGTCCCTATAAGCCGCATGTTGCGGACTGCCCTGAACTGCCCCTATTGTGTGCCCAGATTACCCTTGCCTGAACTGCCCCTATTGTGTGCCCAGATTACCCTTGCCTGAACTGCCCCTATTGTGTGCCCAGATTACCCTTACCTGAACTTCCCCATTGAGGGCCCAGATTATTGCTACCTGAACTGCCCCATTGAGTGCCCGTATCAGTGCTGCCTGAACTGCCCCTATTGTGTGCGGGGATTAATATTTGCTCGGACTGCCTATTGTGTGTCTGGAGTATCGTAGCTACCTGGACTGCCCCCCCTGAGTGCTCAGGCCATCACTACCAAGATTCCCCTATCGTGGGCTGGATTACAATTATTTTGGGCTCCTCCCCTCTCTTCCCCTTTTTGGGTACCTGGACGCTACCTTCCTACACTGATTGAGTGCCTTCCATAGTTCAATAAAGCTTTGTGTGTTTACTATCTTCTTTGTGTGTTCTGTCATGCCTACGCTTCCGTCACATACCACATAATATAAATAATGGATAATAAAGATAAAAACTCACCATGTGTTACCCTCTGGATCATTCTTTCCAAATGCACTGTATGACCCATCTTTATGTTTGTATGTCAACTGTCTCTGATAGCCTATATAAAATAAAGTAATTACATTCTGTACAACTATTCGCTATTTTAGTTTTCAGTAGTTAAGGATAGGATAAAAGACAATACATGAAAACAAGCTACAAACAAAATTAATTATTCTCTACTATATTTTTTTAGTTGCAAGCCTCAATATTTCTGTAATAACCAACTTATAGCCTAGTTGTTGGCTAGCTTTAAAGCATGCTGGGGACTTTTTTTTTACTAACCAATTTATATAATCAGTACTGCATCCTCTTACAAAAACAATGGTCCTTATCCATAAAGGTGGATTGAATAAGAATGTCTGTAAAGTCCAAATCCATTGGTCAGGCTCTTCCTGCCAGTTCAAACAGCTAATCTGTAGGTGCTAGACTAGTAGGAGTGAGGTATCGATATTCTTGGATCTATCAAGGAATTCAATCCTCCTTCACAGGTCTGACGTGCAGTAAAGGTGCCATGTGGATAGACCTTGTTCTGGTCTTGGGCTGCTACCTCTCTGATGGTTTCTCACAGAACACTTAGCGGATGGCAAAACTATGGGGTGGGTATTGAGGAGCACCCAGCACAAATGTTCATGACACAAAAATTTCAAATTGAAGTGTTTATTGAACAATAATATCAAATGAAGCTAACATGTTGTAGGAGAAAATTCCCCTCCCCCCCCCTTCCTTAGGCTGAAACCATCGGTATGAATGTACTCAAGCTGAGATGCAATTAAATTACTTATGGAAGGCTTGATCCAAACTGTCAAACCTGTAAATATTGCAGACACCAATAAACACTTTGATTCAGCTTTTTTGTGTTATGAACGTTTGTAGTGGGCATTCCTCAATACCCACCCCAGAGTTTTGCCAGTTCAAACAGGAATAACTTAATCTAAGTAGCTGCTGTGGGTAACAAAGTTTTTATATTAGACTTTTATATGAAGAAGACACATTGGGGTTGATTTATATAAAACTGGAGAGTGCAAAATCTGGTGCAGCTCTGCATAGAAACCAATCAGCTTCCAGGTTTCTTTGTCAAAGCTTAATTGAACAAGCTGAAGTTAGAAGCTGATTGGCTACCATGCACAGCTCACCAAGTTTTGCACTCTCTAGTTTTGGTAAATCACTCCCATTGTCTCAAGCCCAGCTTTTACAAGACTGGGTTACCCACAAGGAAACTTAAGCAGGTGCCTAGGCCCTGGTGGGTGTCTTAGTCCCCACACACGGAACATCCATCTGATATTATGCTGCCTCCAGCAGTTACATTAGAAATTAATTTGCATCTGTTTAATTCCCTTATCTTTTCACATTCATTAACCACTTGCCTACCGGGCACTTATACCCCCATCTTTACCAGGCCAATTTTCAGCTTTCAGCGCTGTCGCATTTTGATTGACAATTGCACAGTCATGCAAGATTGTACCCATATGAAATTTTTATCATTTTTTTCTCACAAATAGAGCTTTCTTTTGGTGGTATTTAATCGCCACTGGGCACTTTACTTTTTGCGCTATAAACAAAAAAATTGTAAAAAAAAAAAAAAAAAAAAGTTTCTTTGTTTCTATAATAACATTTTTCAAACAGGTAATTTTTCTCCTTCACTGATGTGTGTTGATGAGGCAGCACTGCATGGGCACTGATAGGCAGCACTAATGAGGTGGCACGGATAGGCGGCACTGATAGGCAGCACTGATAGGTGGCACTGACTGGCATCACTGCTGGGCACTGACTGGCGGCACTGCTAGGCATTAACTGGCGCAACTGCTGGACACTGACTGGTGGCACTGACTTGCAGCACTGCTAGGCTGCACTGATGGGCACTGGTGGGTGGCACTGGTGGGCACATGTGGGTGGGCACAGGTGGGTGGCACTGTTGGGCACAGGTAGGTGGCACTTCTGGGCACAGGTGTGTGGCACTGCTGGGCACAGGTGGGTGCACTGCGGGCACAGGTGGGTTCACTGCTACGCACAAGTGGGCGCACTGCTGGGCACAGGTGGATGGAACTGGTGGGTGGCACTGCTGGACACCGATCATCAGGGCACTGATCATCAGTGCCCTGATGATCGGTGCTGATCCCTGCTCTGACAACTGCCGGTTCTCAGCAGTACTTTCCTCACGCTCTGACAGCGTGAGGAAAGTGCAGCCGAGAACTGGCAATTGCATTTCCCGGTAATCAGCATGTCATTGGACACGGCTGATCACGTGGTAAAAGGCCGCTGTGATTGGCCTTTTACCACATCACGTGATCAGCTGTGTCCATAGGACACAGCGATCATGGAGATCGCGGGTGCGCGCCCTGGAGAGTGCATTCTGGGAGGACGTCATATGACGCCCTCCCAGAACTGGCCGGCCGCAGTGTAGCCGTCATTCGGCCATCTGCGGTCGGCAAGTAGTTAATTGTTGATTAATATGCTGCCACCCTGGGTTCACCGTGTTAAGTGCACTGATTTCCTTTGTGACCTTCTATTTATATGATGTAATGTCCTCTTCCTCATTGTAACTTCCTGCTCTTCCTGAAAGACACTTACAATGAGGCTAGGAGAGAAATATTCCTTTGACCTTCAACTACTGCAATTGGCAACAACTACTGCATCATTTTGCTTGCCTCAACCTTACTGAATGTAATAAAGTTATTCGTAGGTGCCAAGTGTTTGGTGGTTCAGCTATCTGATGAAGACTGTCCGCAGTGATTAACTCTACTATTTTCAGGCCAGGCATAAAGGTCTCAGGAAGGAGTCGGTTACCTAACAATTACAACAATTGGAGTCAGAATAGATATTAATTTGTCTTTAGATGAGTTTAGAGTTTTAGATGGTTAGTAGTAGACTATCAGTGTTAAACAAGTCTCTTTATTAATATTGACTGGCAGTGAGCCCTCCTAACTGTTAGACTCCTGGCTTGGCTGCCTGGTAAGCTAAAGTTTGGGGTTCTATAACAATCTTTTAGAGTGCAAAAGAGGATACAGAAGGTGAAAGAGTTTATAATCTATTTGAGTATATAGGAGAGGACACTGGTGGCATAACTTATAGTTCATCAGAGAATGAAGTAGTAGTATTGAAGACAATCTGTGTATATGCCACCGCTCCAAGACACCCCATGAAAAACTTCTTCATCTTGCGGTACATCTGGGTGCAAATGTCCAGGATCCCACTTCAGCTCCACACCACATAGAAACTGAATGAAGTTATTTGGCAAGGCAACTGTATTAGGCTTATTTCAACAGCTCCCGCTCTGATTGCCTCAATCCCTACGATTAAGGCCAGGATTGGATTAGAAATGTGTTAGAGGAGTGGCCTCAGGTGGAAGGTTTTGCAATATTTTGCGTATCCTTTCTGCATGCTCATGACACCTACTGGACCTTCTAAATGTCATCATTGTGTGGCCCAATTCTTTCAGTAATATTGAAGCCTTGAGTTGGAAAGGTTTGCAGGATATTTACTTATTTTATATGGTTCCTATATTAATATGTGAACAAAGTACATATACAGAAGGGCAGTGGTGAAGCTAGACATTCTTTCACCTGGAGCAAAGACCCAGTTCGGTGCACCCCTTCCCCATAGCAAGACAAGGTAATTCAGTGCCCAGGGTGAAGATACCAACCAACTGGGGGGGGGGGGGGGGGGTTGGGACAGTAGGGTGTGGGATGCACTGCACCACACTGGGATATGAAGCATTTTATCCACAGTAAAATTTGACATAGAAAGTAATGGTGTCTGTGTGCAGAATCATAGGTTGGGCCCTCCATAGCAGCAACAAGAAAGATTGGCATGCACAGCGCACCGCAGTAAAAAATTGGGTGTGGTTTGTATTGTGCTGAATATTGGCTATGCTTAAAATAGAAGCAGTGTGCAGCGGTTCAGTAGTAAGTGGTGCAAAGTTCAGAGATGTCAGTGCCATCTTAATACTATCATGGGCCCCTGGGCAAAGTAATACGTTGGGGCCCCTACAAGGCATAAGTTGAATAGTGTGCCATTGCAAACAGTGGGTGTGACTAAATTATGCTACATATTGGGCTTGGATTTTTTTGTCTGATTAGAACTAGGTTGTCTTTGGTGAGATACATACCCCTAAAGTTTCACTTTTGAGACAGAGCAAAGGGACTGGGGACAGACATTCCCCAGTTAGGAATTAGTGCATGGAACTAAAGGGTGCTAAGGAAGCTCTGAGGGAGTAAGAGGGGCTGAAAGGGCTCTAAGGATTCCTTCAGATGTGTAGCTGTCATTGTTGGTGTTTGACGGGCAGTGAGGGAGTGACATGTCACCTACTCACTGCATGTTTTAACCCTGAAAATGCTGACCCACTGCGCCGCAACCATGTGCATTGCACATACTGCAGGGCGGTTATTGTGCAGAGCCATTTATGGTGACATGCACTTTCATTTTTTATATGCATACAGTCCTGAGATGGTTGATCAAGGTGGCAAAGCCATGGCTCAACTGCCTGTTTTTACCAGCATCGTTTAGACTTGTGATTGTGGAGGTTGTAAAAACAGGCGGTTGGGACATGATTTTAACAACAGCCCTGTTGCATTCAGTAGGCAGTACTGCCTATCAAATGTAACCCATTTAAGTGCAGTTGATGGTCGGTGTATTCTGATATCGCCAGATCTCGATGTCAGAATACAATGTCCTGGGGAGGAACATTGTGTGGATGGGGGAATTCTATCTTTCTTCGTTCAGACTGCTGGAGGAAAAAAAAAGATAGCCAACACAGAGAAGACATAACGTTAACAGGCTGGAGAGGGAGGATCACAACTGTGTGAAAGCATCTAGAAGATAGTATAGACAGAGGGAGAAGAAATGCTTGCAGGGGGTGAGCCGTGTAGCTGGAAAAGTGCAAATAACTCACCAGGAAAGAAGGTGAAGTGAGTTATGACCCAAGAAGGACTTAATAGCCAATTTCTCCTACAGTATCTGACAGGCAGAATGCATATCACTCTGCCAGGGACTTTACAATGAGTGTTCGAAAAATATAGCTGCATGATCACTCCACGGACCAACTGCACCATTAAGTTCCTCACTAACCACCTGCAAGAGCTGTTAATGTTTGAGCTAGAATTTTAGGAAAACTTTAATTTAGACTCTGACATGGTGATTGCTGAATGAGGGTGCTAACAGAATTTATGACATGGTAATTGCTGAATGAGGGTGCTAACAGAATTTATGGGGTGTGCTAAAGCACACATGCACCCCAGACTGGCAGCGGCACCTGTCCCCTTTGTCCCCCCCCCTAGTTTCGGCCCTGCAGAAGGGCCTATTCCTAGGTCCCTGTTTGGTCTTAATCCAGTACAGATATCATCTTATATTTTAATTTATGAAGGTATAACCCTGGAAGCAATGGCAGTCATCACGACCACAAGGCATCAGCAGATATTCTACACATTATAGTTAATCTCTATGCAAAGGTTAAAATAATAACTTTGGACAGATAATTTTATCATTCATAATGAGTAGCTCACCGCTTTTGAGAAAAATAATAGCTTTGCTGTGATCTCATCGGTCAACTGATGAGTCTTCTCCAGATACTGCAGAATGAAGATGTTGGGGGCAAAGAGGATCATGTTCTGTTCTCCACACCCATATGGCATGGCCAAGAGTCGTTCCAGGTTGTCCAGGGCTGTGCCCATCAGATCTCCTATCAAAGAGAGACAAATCAAGGAATATCCTTCAAATAATGAAAAATATCAAAGTTTTCCTGTGTATTTATTGGCTTCTAGAAGTAGATCATGATTGCTTTGCAGATAGCAGGGCCCAGAGAAGACAAGTTAAGCTGGTCAAGTTACCACCACATAAGTCCCATGTTTACAGTTCCAGAAGAAAATGGAGATATTCCCCTTCTAAGACTCTTCTGGCTGTGACCGCTTCCTTTGCTGAAAAACTGGAATGAAATCTAATAAATAATTTTATGTGGACTAATGATAACAGGTAAAGTGCTCTGTATAGAACATTGGTGTACCAAGTACAGGAAGACCTAAAGAACACATCTTATTACTAGCAAACTATCTGTGTATAAAAAGATACAAAGGCCACATCCTATTACTAGTGTATTATCTATGACTAGGAAGATCTGAAGAATGCATCTTATTACTAGTGTACTATCTGTAATTAGAGGATCTGAAGGCCACATCTTATTACTAATGTACTATCTAAGCGCAGAAAGATCTAAAGGTCACATCCTCTTGTTGGCCTTCATTTAAAAAAAATAAGAACTCAAGCAGGCATTTGGGCATGAGTGGATGGCTTCAGTTTGACATCAATTTGAGTCATTTCGAGAGCAATTCAACTATCTAGAATAGATTACTTTTGGGTGGGCTGACCCTGTAGTGAAACGTATAATGTTGTAGTTTTAGTGTATGTAGGAGCAAAATTGGAAAAAACCATGCAGTGCACTTCACCAATGCATGCCATGCACATTTTATTTTTTCAAGATTCTGCAAGTACATATAATACCTACTGATGCCCCTCAGCTCCTAATTTTTCTGTTGTGCTGACTTTTCAGCACTGAAATCACAAGAGAGGTTTAGGGTAGACATGTGCATGCTGGAAAATTTTGATTAGTTTCCTTTTCAGATCCATTTGTTAATTGAAGAATTAATTTTTGGATGTATTCGTTAATGGACGTTAATAGAATTTGTTTTCGGAATTTGTTTTGTATCTTCGGCATTTGTTTTGTTTCATTCAGAACAGCGCTGGTTATTAAGAATCTGATATGGATTTTGGGGAAAACCCCAAACCATTTAAAAAAAAGTATTTTAATGTGGGTTTCCCCTCAAATTCAATACCAGACCCAAAGGGGCTGGTGTCGATTTAGAGGGAACCCCACGCTGTTTTTTTTTTTCTTTTGTTTGTTTTTTTTTTCTTAAATTTAACCGTCACTTCTTTTATTTGCATTCTCCTGACAGCGGAGAATCCTGCTGATAGCAGATGAATCATGGTTTTTATGGACATGGCGGCTGCCTGCTCCTTAACAACCAGCTCTTCACAATGAATCCAAATTAATCCGAAAATTCATTATAACTTTTTTCAGATTCATTCAGATTTGTTACTCTGTCCATTCAAAAATTCAGAAACATCCGAATCTCTGAAAATTAAAATTTTTGTCCGAAGAATTAACCTGATCAAACCAAATTGCACATGTCTAGTTTAGGATCTACATACACTTTAGGTGATTGCATGCAACTTACCCACAACAGTTACATAGGCTCTTTCAGATTCTTTTAGAATATTCTCTGGAATTCGCAGAAAGATGTTCTCTGTCTTTGAGTCTCCTGCAGTAAACATGCTGGTGTTAGATTCACATAACATCTAAGCAATCAAAATACAGTGTGATAAAGACCAGAGGTTTTCAACCCTATTGAGGCCAGGTCCTAGTAAATTCTTCCAAAACCATTCATGCGGCAACAGTAATAAAAAAAAAAGTTATACTCACACAGTAAATGTATGGGAATGCTAACTACTTTGGATTTATTGATATGCTGGAAGGCTCTGGATGGGGTTGAGTGTCATTGTGGGCAGATGAGGGTTCTGGAGGAGGTTACAGTACTCTGCAGCAGACTTAGTGTCCCTGTAAATGATGATATTTCTGGAGGGGCTTGGGCACTGTGGGACATGCTTGAAGGTTAGGGGCACTGTGGGATGTTGGGCTCTGTGAGGGCTGAGGGCTCTCAGGGTACCAGGCAGCATTGTAAGGGGGACTGAAGGGCACTATGGACAATTATGGGAGTTTAGGAGCTATATGGGAACTAGGAGGCATTGTGAAAGATTAGGGGATCTGCAGCTGAATGGAGATCCAGGCGGAGGTAGATTGCTGTCTGGAAGTGGGCCACAGTCTAGTGGTTGAGAACCATTAACCTAGATCACATATGTTGTTTTTGCTCTCAATAAAACTGAATTTATATGTCTATCTATCTATCTATCTATCTATCTATCTATCTATCTATCTACTATCTATCTATCACATACATTAAAAGTTCACAAATCCAGGCTTTGATTAACCTAAGGAGTGAAAGTTATCATACCCAACTGATCCCAACATCACTTCAGATAAGTCATGTGCAGGGGAGTTTGCTGAAATAGAAGTTGCTCTAGTGTATGAACGGATGTTATACATTGCCTCAGTGAAGCTGTGTGCCTTTGTATCTCTAGGCAAAAGTTTTTTTTTTTTAACTTTTGGATAGGACAGATTAGACAGGTGTTTATTGCTGTCTGTGTTTCCTCTGGGGAGATTCACATTCTCTATTTGTAGTGGTGACCACTGTCACCTAGAAAGAAGGTGAGGAAAATGCTGTATTTTTTAATTTTGTGATTTGTGTACCTTTTTCATTTTACTGTACTTCTTTCCAATCAGTTTTTTTTCTTGTAATGTGAAAACCATAACCAAACACCAAAGCCTTCTTAATTTCTCCTCTTCCTTTACGCTTTGCCAAAATGGTGAAATTTCACCATTTCACCAATTTCACACTTTTTGCTGAAATTTGTTGAAATTTTAGGGAACTGAAAATGCTCAATTTTCAGCATCCATTGACAGTCCATACTATGCAAGTTTAAAATATTCCTTTCAATAGATCCTAGTCATAAAATGCAGGCTGTGGTGTGTGGCTGTTATTGTTGTAGCAAAGATCTCTGCGATTGGATGATTTTGAATGGTCACATGGCTGGGCTGTTCTTTAAATTTTCATTCATTTATTTTTACAGGATTATCATTTATTCTTATTGTGCTTCCAGAAGCTGGGGAGAGCACATTTGTAAACAAAATATACAGTAACTATATTTCTGTGAAGGACTCTTGAGAAATGTGGAATCAGAGTTTACAACATCAAGTAAAATATTGCAATTCCTCTTTAGAGCTTACAGCCTAATAAAAGGCAATTGTTTTTTTGTTGTGGATTGCGTAGAAATGGGTTAGGACAGCTGTCAGATTTTTATTGCCTTCTGTATCCCAATTTTTATTAGTCCTGTGAATATTATTGCCAAAAGGAATAGATAATCCCACATTTTAAGCATTCATTAGAACCAGGAATAGAGGAAAATCTTCCAGTAGGGACAATAGGTTTGGTGACTACCAGGATTTCCCTCACTTTGCACGGATTTCATTTGCATCCAAAGCCATGTGGCTTTGGGACAGGTGTAAACGGCATTCTCCCCAATGGGACACAGATGGCAAAACAACCTGTTCTGGGCACTTATAGGCAGGTGTAGTTTGTCCCCCCAGCACAGGCCATGCTGTTCCGCAGCCACCATGCAGAGAGAGTGGAGGATAGGAGGAACGCATGTTCATCTGAGGACTCAGTAGGTGTCATCAGGAGAACAGCTGTCCAATTGAGTGCTGCTACCCCAGGTGCCCACTTCAACCATCTTAGATGGGGCAATGCTTATAAAAACCATGGCCTCACTGCAGTTGGTGCACATTTTGCATGTGGTTAGGTTAGGGACAGGAACCCGCTGACTAGGGAGAGTATGCATAGCATGGGGAGAGTTTTCAGTGGAGGAGGGACAGAGTACGGGGGACTGTCCACCTATTCTACAGATAGGAGCCTTCTCTCTTCAGGTGCCTTGTTGCACGCCCACCTTCCAATTGCCTCTTCTGCCAGGTGTTGTCTGCATCAGTATATCACTCCAGGCTACTTTTATACAGTTCTCTGTGAGTGTTGCTGACCAGACTGATGCAGTCACATAGATTTTGCTACAGTTTTGTTTGTTGGTACTTCCACTTTAATACGCCTCCTTAAAAGTTTGGGTATGTGTGTTTGTCTTTCTTCCCCTCTGGATAGCCAACGCTTGGGCCCTGCTTACACATTTAAAGTTGTTTTACCTGAATTTGGAATGGAAAGGCACTTACTTTAGAAAGTTTTCTATGGTGGGCTATGAATATTGGGTCCAGAAAACAGACAAATGCATTAAATATTTGTTCTTCTATATCCCCCAATTATACAATTCACAGTAATTCCTCACCATCTTGGTTACAAAGCATAGAACTGTAGGACTTGTCTTGTAGGACTCCTCCAGGCTGCAAGTACAAAAAACAAAGTTTAGCTAAAAGAACAAAGGGGATCAAAATAAAAGATGAGATTGATGAGATGTTATGTGCAGTGACATACAGTAGCAAATCAGAGTTAGATTTTTATAGGCAAATCTTTGAAATGTTGAATCTAATTGGTTACTGTGGGCTACAGTATTTCATACAACCATATTTTACTATAGGACTGCTTGAGCAAATAATAGGGAATCAAGGGATTTGTTTTCATCCGGTTGGTTGGATATATTTTCAGTGGCTCTCCAGATCCTGCTGCAACCAATAATGTGTGTACATAGCATAATGTAACAAATATAAAACCAGCATGACAAACTTATTCCATCCTTTTTTCACCTGATTAAAAATTAAAAGTGCTATGAGCAGTGATGTATTTTAATTTTGTGCTGCCCTAGGCAAGTCTAAAATCGGGCACCTCTCCATCTAGATTTGCCCCACCCTTACTGTTTAAGATCCACCCCTTCATCTGTAAACTCCACACCAGACCCCCCATACCCTCTGTATGCCTAGATAACACCAGACCTCCCTATACCCCCTATACTACTAGACAACACCAGACCCAGCTATGGACCCTCAAAAACTACTGTAACTACTGTCCCCTTCATGGAGTATGATGACAGTTAGGTGCAGTCATTGAATTGCTAGCCTAACAATCCAGGGCTGCCCTAGATGGCCAGTAGGACTTCATCTCTGAGGGCATGGGTCATCAAAGATGTTTTTTAGCATTACAGAAAATATGAACCTGGAGAATTACTGTCCCAGGAGGTATCCCATCACTGAGTATGGGGACAGGTTCAGCCTGTCATATAGAAATTCCTAGGCTAGTCACCAAGGTTTCCCTTGTAAACATGGCCAGTGGGACTTGATAATTAGGAACATGGGTCTCCACAGACGCTTTTCAGGATTATAAAAAAATGTTTTGAACCCAGAGAAGCCCTGTCCCTAGAGGGATCCTAACACTGAGTGCGGGGACAGGTGGATGCAGTCACAATGAGCACTGGTTGGAAGTTTAGCAGCTCGGCGTCCAGGCAGTTCAGCGATCAGAAAAATAGAAACTTACCAAGGACAGGCAGGTTGTCTCATCGGTTTGGCTCTGTGCAGGCTCTAGCTGATTTGCGTTCAGGAATGCACTATGGATGGAGCATGTCGGCTGGACAGGTAGTGTGAACATACAGGGCTAAGAAGATCCGGATCAGCTTCTCTAAACTTTGCACCTTATTCTAGGAGACAAGCTTCACTCCAGCAGACTGTGTCTCTCCTCCCTGTTCCGATCCTTTATCCCCCTCCAACCTTGCTTTGCCTTGGTCAGCTGTCCAAGCCCCCTAATGATCAGTCTGCCCCTGGCTGTGATAGTTGTTTGGCCCAGGGGTGCCAGTGTAGCTGCTGGAAAAACAACTGGGGAACCGCTAAGCTGTCCCTCCTACTCTGAAGACTGCTCACATATGTGTCCCTTCTGCCTGGAGGAAGGGGGGGGAGATGCCTTGTTTACCTTGTGGTGGATATGCCCCTGACTATGAGAATAAAATTATCGCTAGACTAACCTGTACGATCAGCGGCTTAATAATTGTGTCAGAGCTGCCTTGTCTGGGGACAATGGGTATCTCATTCTGACACAGTTCAATAGAGTTAATGGCTTCTGTCCTCACTGTGATATTTACTTCTCCTGGAAAGAAAAAAAACATGCTAAAATATTAAGATCACCTAGCTAGGTCGGCTTAAGACCTAACATTAGGTCAAATAAAAAGAAAAAAAAATAGCGCAAGGAATGGTACTTATATTTAATGCAAAGTATTACTTGTGCTGGTGCCAGCTATCATAGTTGAAATAATAATAAACAAAAAAGAGTGCACAAAACCTATGACCATAAAAATAATCATAACAATAACAACAAACAATAAAGTGACGCAAATAGTATCAACATCAATAAATAAAATCACTAATATAGTGGAAAAATAAAACTGTATTCAGAAACCATAAAAAACATTTCCTCTATGCAAGGGACATCCTCAGGGGACATAAGGCCTCAGGCTTTCCTTCTTTATGTTCCCTGAGGATATCCCTTGCATAGAAGGAAGGGAAGGGCTAGTGGCCTATGACATCATCACACTCACTAGTGTACTGCAGCATGGTGTTTTGAACTTTTGTTACTGAGATGATTGTGAGTATACTTGTACGAAATAAAATGATGATTTTAGCAATATTACGCTATGGCCCTTTGTACTTTCCTCTGAATCTTACTGCAAAGAATTGTTCTTTGGACAGCCAGTGGAGAACCTGGTGAGCGTGGAGGCTGTTACCATACCCTGGTGTGATTTGATTCGCATTTGGTGTATCCTGTGCTAGTGATCTCTTATAATCTGAGATCATGGTTATCCGGTAGGGGGATTTATATTTTTGTCTTAGATGGTTTGGAACTAAAACATGCAGAATTGTGGCATTTCGTATTCACACAAGATTCTACACTGGTCCTCTAGTGGAGTCCTGAAATATCCATTTGGGAGTAGATTATCATTTTGTGTTATATCATTGTTTTGATTTATACTGAATATTTTTTAAATGGGGGGGGGGGGGGGGGGGTGTTTTTTATTGACGATACTATTTGCATCAGTTTTATTGTTTATTTTGATTGTGATTTTTATGGTCAGAGGTTTTATGCACGCTTTTTGTTTATTATATTGTTTTTCCTGTATCCGGAACAGTGTGTGCAGCATTGCCCTCTAGCACCGAGCACATAATTATTTGGGGGTTTATTTAACATAGCTGAAATCCAAAGTCCTATGCCCCCCATACCTCACAGCCATAATCTTTCAGGCTGCAGGGGGTTAATACAAGCTGGGGGCCTAACATAGGCATTCGTCAAGAGTGCTTACTATGCCTGTCCTTTCCACTTCCCCTCCTCCATTCATAGAAGCTGTAATAAAGCTTCCATAAATGAAAAGCAATCTAAGAATGGAGAATGGTAGATGAACAAAAGATCCACCTCCTCCATTCATAGAGGTTTTTCATCCATGGAAGATAAAGTACATCTTCTATGAATGGAAAAAGCAGACATAATCAGAATTGTTGTTGAGTGCCCGTGACAGGTCCAGTTCCTGTATTGGCCCACAACTCACAGGACGATTATGGCTGTGGGGTAGGGACAGAGGATTTCAGGTCTTAACTATGACAGCTAGCACCAACACAAGGGACACTTCACATTAAATGTAAAATACTGTCCCTTGTGCAGATTTTAAAAAAATTACTTAAATTTAGGCTTTAACTGAGGCTTCAAGCAACATAACCTGCAGAATTCAGACCACTCTACCCAAAAGACAGGGCTCTTGTTTATCAGTACCCAATTAAAGAGCATAAAGAGTAGTTGAAGTTAGACATATGAAAGCTGCCATTGATGAATAGTTTAAGTACAGGTTCCCAGGTTTGTTCCTTATTACACAGTAAGTCAATGACCTGGAACAAGCATGTGGAAAGAGGAGTTCAGACTATTGAGACTTAAACACTAGCTTTATACCAGGGCGGACTGACCATTCGAGCACTCGGGCACTGCCCGAGGGCCCAGGGTTAGGGGGGGGTCAGTAGGGGGCCCCATGAAATGCCCTGGTACCTTTTTTATAGGCTTTTTTGGGTGTGCTGTGAGTGTGGGCAAGGACACAGGGTCCCCCCCCCATGATCCCCTATTGCCCGGGGCCCCATGATTTGTCAGTCCACCCCTGCTTTATACTTGTTTCAAGTCAGAAACCCACCAGGTACCAAAACCAAAACCAAGATTAGCATGAAAGCACTGGAGGCTTGCACCCAAAAAAAAGTTAACCGCAGTTTCAGTCATAGGTGAAGGAGTATCATTTATTTTAAATCAGTCTCACAGCAGTTGGAGTATTGCATTGGCTGTAGACGTTATTTAAATTTCTCACTGGACACATGGCTTACCCAGCTTAGATGCTTTCAGTTTCCAGTAGAATGTTTTGCTCTCATCAGCACTTAGACAGCTGCTGTACTGACAGTCAACACATAACTCCTCCTCTAATTCTAAGGAAGGTAACAGGGTGGTTTGTACCTGTCAACAAGGAAAGAAATCTTTATATTTGTAAATTTAGGAGAGAATTAAAAACTGCAATATATAGATGCAGAGCTTATAACAAAAAAATTGGTGAGGTTTGCAATTCTTAAACTAACACAATTTAAATCAGTGTTTAACCAGTTAAGTTCAATAAGCTTTTACCCCCTCTTCATTGACCAGGGCAATTTTGCTGTTCGGCAAAGCGCTAGTTTAACTGAAAATTGCACAGTCATGCAACACTGAGTGCAAATGAAATTTTGTATAATTTTTTCACACAAACAGAGCTTGTTTTTGGTGGTATTTGATCACCATTGTTTTTTTTTAATTATTTATATAAATGAAAAAAAAAAAAAAAACTTTGAAAAAAAAAAAAATATTTTTTTTTTCTGTTATAAAACAGATCCAAAAAATAAAAATATATAATTTCTTCATAAATTTAGGCCAAAGTGTATTCTGCTACAAAATCACAATAAGTGTATATTAATTGGTTTGTGCAAAAAAGTATAGCGTACCATGAAGCTTATACTTGTAATGGTGGTGAACTCAGTGACTTATAGTGGGACTCTGCAAAGTGTGGCGGACAATCAGACACATAATTGGCACTGGGCTGGGAGGTACGACTAACTGATAACTGATACCAATAGTGACACTAATACAGTGATCGGGTGCTAATATACGGATTAAAACTTTTCACTGTACTAATGACACTGGCCTGGGATTAGGGGTTAATATCTAGGGGCAATTAACGGGTTAACTGTGTGTGCCTAAAAATGGGTAGTATATGTAATATGTCTGCTTTTATTAATTGATGTGGAAGTAGGAAGAAAACACAGCCACCTTGCTGTTCTACTGTACAGAACCCTGTGTTGCTAGTAAACACAGGGCTCTGTTCTGCTGATTCTCTAAGCTGACCATCAGCAGGGTTTCGGCCATAAAATCATTGGCCAAGAGCTGCTGACTGACTTGTGATGTAAACTGAATGACAGCACAGATCGGGTAGGGGACACGTGATTGTGCCTTCATACTACCCAGAAATGCTGGATCACGTACATGTACATGTTAAAAATGTATCAATGATGTATTGCACTTTCTGTATTGGCCCCTTTTCGTAATGAATAACACCAACACAAAAGGGTTAGAAGCCCCAAAAGTGCTCTTGACAGAACCTAAACGGATCACTGAATACTAGAGTCAGTCGCATTATCACATGTGTCATCCTCTGACAAAAAAAACCATTACTGACCATCAATGTGTCCAGAAAAAAATGTTGTAAATATGCTGTTACCTTTATGCTTTGCTTTAGGTTAGTTAAACACAGTGGCTTTGAGAGTGAAAGTTTCTTCCTCCTCTCTACTATAGAGTATGGAAGGGTGAGATCCACAAATGAGACGGCTGGAAGACCCGAAAGGAAGTAGGGGGAGGACAGGCCAAATCCACTGGGGCCCATACAGCAGGGCCCCAGCATTTCCAATCTGTGATGGTATCTGGAGCTTTGTCGGTGGAATTCAGCTCTGCCAGCATCCCTGAACAGAAAATGAAAAAAAAAAGAAAGAAAAAATGGATTAAATTGAAGAGTCACTCACTGCTAAATATCTATTTTTAAATGCTGGTGGGCAATCATCCTCTCCCGTGTCAATTTTAATCATTGCAGAATTCAGTGCTAACTTATCTTCCTATTCTACAGAACATCCTACTGGGAAATGCAATCCCTGAAGCACTTTAATGTAATATTAAAGTGGAATTACCGGTACACTGCATTCTGAGCACCACAAACATAAAAATAAAATACTGTATTTAATTCTATTTTAATATTCAAAGCAAACCCACCCACCATCCATGTTTCCATGCTTTCATTTGTTGAGAAATCAGTTTGAAAAACACCCCCTAGTATTCTGGTCATGGCCATCTTGAGTAAGGGCAGATGATTCATGTAGCATTTACTTTGTGGAATCCATCTGCCTTTAGCTCAGGCCTGCAGGAAGGAAGGTTGATGTGTGCTTAGCTGAGAAATTCATCCTCCCTTTCCTGAAAACTCCCTGGATGTATGACATCATTTGCCTAGGCCAGTGGTCGGCAAGCCGGGCGTCTCGTGAGCCACATGCGGCTCTTTACACACTTTACGCTCTTCTGTGTGTCGGGCGCCCGCCCGCCTCCCCCCTCCTCTCGGTGCGGCCGCTGCCCCAAAAGTCAGGACTCTGCAGCTAGCCCAGCAATGGGCAAACTACGGCCCGCGGACCTTTTTAATCCGGCCCGCGGAGCAGTGGCAAACATTGGCTGTCAGGACGTAGGCTAGGGAGGGGCAGCGTGACAAACTCCTCTCCTCTCACAGTCCAGCCCTGAAGACCGGAACGGCGCAGGGAACACGGCGAGAGGAACGCGCGCGGAGCAAAGGTAAGTGAATTGACACAATATGGGGAATGAATTACTATAGGGGGGATGATATTACTATATGGGGGATGAATTACTATGGGGGATGAATTACTATGGGGGATGATTATTACTATATGGGGGATTAATTACTATGGGGGTATGAATTACTAATGGGGGGATGAATTACTATATGGGGGATTAAATTACTATGGGGGATGAATTACT